AATATACGTTGGGTGAGGGCAAACCCGTTATATATGAAAATAAAATTGATTAGCAAATTTGCTAACCACATTGTCATTTGATTAGCATTATGATATAATTGACTAGCAAAAAATAAATGGCCTAATTCAGTACCATTATACCATGGTATACAATTTTAATATCCACTGATGTGTACACCAAGGCTAAACACTGAAACAACACACAGGTATGGTATAGCATGGTAGTTGGTTATGGCTCTGGCCAACAATTGAGTGGAAAATCAACAGTCTAGTACCCATCTGAAAGATTGGACTGGTGATACGTTGCTCAGGTTTGTGGTTTGTCATCACTGTGCAAGTCAGTGGATTGACAGATAACAAGACATCATCACTGCAACTGCATTGTTTAGACAGATGTAGAGCTCTCGGAACAGCCAAGAAAAGCAATTTTGAGGTCCTATAGTACAATGTGGAGTAGATTGAAACTTACCAGTGGACAGATTAACATTAATACTTAAGGTATCTCGACTTTTTGCTTACCTCCAGCCTTGGGGTTTATAGAAAGCCTTCTTAAAGATTGATAAGTATTAATACCATCGCTGATCTTTTCCATTTAATTAGAAACAGGAAGAGAAAAAAATGATTAAATAAAAGAAATTAACATACTGTTGTTTCTTGAGTTTCTCTTCCTCCCTCTTCTGTTTCCTTTCTTCTACCTTCTTCAGAAAATAATTTTCTCTGCGAAAAAAAACAAAAAGAGAGAATGAATCAATTGCCTTTCAAATCTAATGTCAAAACAACAATATGCAGACACAAAGATACAAGAATCAAAGAGGCTATACGTCTGAAGTTGTAAAGAAGTGTGGGATGTAGTCTAGATTCACCATAGATTCATGATATCCATGCTCAGATATATGAATTCTGACATCACTGTGAAATCAGTGGATTGACAGATTGCTAACATCATCACAGCATGTACAAGGGTGTGCGGGGATGGAATACCTAAGCGAAACCGTAATACACACAGCATTACCCTCCTAACAATCTTAATTTCTTAAATGTGTTACTTTGGTGTGATGGAAAGAATAATTTCATAAGGTAACAGACGAAACGTTCCATTCTGTGAGGTGAAGCCAGGTGGAAAGTATTCATTATTTTTCCACTGCACAAATGTGAAACATTACATGCTTTGTACAATGCCTGAATAAGTCATCACCACCTGGTTGGTATCTTAACAATTTGCCATTTTCTCCTATCCGCTTTCTTAAAAGAGCTTCAACAGTCATCCCTGTATGGACAACAATTTTCTTGTAAGAACGCTTGCTTTGTTTCTTTGTTATTTCTTTGCAGAAGGAAGGAAGCATCGCTTTTATCATTAGTTTCGGCCATTTTGTGTAAAGAACTGCACTGCAGCGCAATTAATGGGGAAACAGTACAAGCATGCATTCATTATGGTTTTAATGCCGTTATTGTGGAAAGGGTAAGCCCGGTGCATTGGGCCGAAAATATTTGTGGTCAGATAGCAAGTCTTTATTCAGGTTTTGTGTAAACACTTCTATTCCCATTTGCAACAAATTCCCGAAATGAAGAAAAATATGTGCACAGATATCTGATAGCCACATTATGACACAACATACTTGGTCATCTTAATAAGTTCTGTCTCTCCATATTTCAAGCCCTCCTCTCTCAGGAACTTTGTGCTCGACTCCTTATCTCTGAATGTGGCAAACACTGATCCCTGAAAATAACAGAAATACAAAAGAAAGGCGGCACTTTAAACTACATAACAGCCTGGCCATAGATGTACATACATGATGCACTGAAATGTGTAATGCATGGTGTCATCTTACGAGTTCAAAATATTTGGCTCTTAAATCCATTATCCCTTACCCCCTACCCAAACTTTGCAGCCATCCTCCTGAATCCAACAACAATGAAAAGTTTTTTGAGTGTGAAGCTTGCTGGACCTGAAAGAAACAGCTAGAACGAAAGGCTTTTTGTTCACTGCTCACATCAGCAATATCCAACTGCTGGATATCATTGAGTTCAGCGTGGTTAGGATTAATACCCCTGTCCTAGTTTGATTCGACTTTGAGGGGGAGAGCTCCGATTCAATGCGTCAACACATGAGCACACTTGATTCCTATGTGGCATGCAACATGTAGAAACTGATGTGGTAAGTAAAATTATGAGACACTACTCAGGTAATGCAGGTACATGGGTCGCACACACAAAACCTGTTATTTAAAATTAAAATCTCCCCATGCAAAGTACACCTTGAAATAGTTTGCAGTACTGCTACTTCTGACTTAGACCGGCCAGGCGACCCCGGCAAGCTTGGTGATCAAGGGGTTATGAAATCTGCACTAGTAGGGCTGAGTCAATTCAAATAATTCACTGTTCAAATATTTGACATTCAATTCTATTGAACATCCGAATATTCAGTCGTACCCACCAGCAGATTGTTGATGAACAAACCATATACAAAATCAGTTGCAATAACGCACACCATTGTTCCTTATAATCACTATAATAGCTTTACACGTCACATCACGTCTAGGGGTATGTCAAGCCACTAATTTGCCAGGTTTAAGAGACAAATAATACTTCTTGTCCTGTTAAAAATTTCTATTCCTTTTAAGTAGTTCAACAAATTATTTAAAGACTTCTGTCGCTTTTCATTTGAATCTGCTCGAAACAAGTCTCCACGGTGGAATTTTTCTTATTTAAAACAAGAGAAAAACCTCATTTCCTTTTTATGAATTTTGCATTCAAATATTCAAATTTTGAAAATAATATTCAAATATCCAGGAATTGATCGAATATTCAGATATTTGGTACAGCCCTATGCACTAGTAAGCGGGAGGTCATGGGTTCCAGTCCAACCTGAGTACACTTGTGAATTTTCTTACAAGCTCTTGGACAAACACAGAATATATAGATCAGTGTAAAGTCAAACCCTGTTATTAAAATCAACATTTCCCCAAATGCAAAATACGTATTAAAATACCCTTGAATGTAAGATTTGTGTGTGATTTCTTGAACTATTTGCACTGGCTATTTGGAGAGTCTCAAAGAATCCTCACTTTGTGTGTCAAGAAAGCACATCTACAAAACTGTGAGGCCAGGCAGAGTTTCCATACTGTCAGTGTTGGAGCATCCTCTAATGTAAATACTCTGTATGGGGATGTTACCTTGAATTTATTCTCCCTATCTCGTCTCATCATGACGTGCTCTGTCTCGCCAAACCTGTCAAGGAAATCTTGAATCTGGCCCACTTCAGCGTCGAGGGGAAAACCTTTCTGAAATGCATGGAAAGAACGATGTAATACATGACACATTTGAATCTGTGGATATCGATGAAGTGAAAATGCTGCCGTCATAGACACTGCCGAACCCAAAAAGTGAAACTTGAAAGAAAAAACAAATAAATGTGGCAAAAAGCGCAGATTTTCATATTTACATGTACATATATTTTTACTTAAATTTTTATGTATGAGGTAACTGTGTTAGCCAAAAAAGCCTCAGTCAGACACATTCACGAGGCAGGCCGCCACACATTTGAATTGGCAGAAACGAGAGGCATAAACAGCCAAAGCTTGCTGTATTGAACGACCACTGCACGCAACATTTTGTGTAGACCCCATCTTGATTGTTATAACAGCATTCTAAGGCAATTGGATTACTAAGCTGGAATGGATCAACATTTCACCAGTCATGTCTGGACCTGGGAGCAGTAACTAAGCCTCAGATAGACTTACACAGTAGACGCTTTTTTCTCGGACATTCCTCCTGTATTCTGTTGTGTCTTGAGGTAGGGGCTTGCTCGGCAGACGGCGAATCTTGTTTCTGTCCTCACTTATCTGAGAAAGATTTGACAGAAAGAGAGAGAACTCATGGTTAAAGACCAATCAACACTGGTAGGGTGACAATCGAAGAAAGGTCAGAACATGCTGAAAGATCTCTGCCTATTATTCCAAATTTCCGAATTGCAATACTGATTGCCTTTTTTTAAAAATAAAAATCAGGAAATTGTTTATGTAAATTAAACATTACACATTTTAATTGATTTCAGTGCATGTGAATAGTGTTTAAAATGTCTGTTCATCCTGAATACATTAGTACATGTACATGTATCACACTTTCAAGATGAGCTCGCAGGTTCTTTAAAAAATAACACCCAACTAGTCGGTAAGAAGAACTTATTAACAGAAAAATAGGGGAGGCGGGAGGAGGGGACTCATCCTTTTAAAAGCCATTTCCCATGCTAGATCCCCTACATGTACATGTATGTGTCTGTGTCTACAGTAACAATCAGCATGGGGAGAACTAAGTGTGTCCTGATCTTGTGGTCCATTGACTTGTGGGAATAATCCAAGGCACTTCATTACTCCCATGTACAAGTCTAACGTCCACTCTCCCTTTCAGTAATCCCAGAGCGCGAAATTAGACCCAAAAAGTTCTCGGACAAAATGTCATTACGCAGCCTCCCAAAGTATCTCAAAAAGTGATGAACACCTGTCTTAATCTATGTAAAAATTTCTACATACGGCAATTCACAGGAAAATTATGAACAAATCACACAATCACAATGGCAATCACGACAGCAAACTGGCCAAAAATGTCCATGTATCGTGTGGTAAGGGTGCATGATGCATCAGACCAGCAGGCACTAAACCTTGTTCCATGAACAGAACAACCTCAAATTACACTCATGAACACAGAAAATACAAACATAAATAAGAGACCATGTTCTGTGAATTAACTTACAGGAAACCTCTTGCAACATAACATCGATGTCTTTCCAGCCTGCAGCCTTTTGCATTTGTGACGTGTACAGCCGATGAAGAGTGTTTATGTACAGTACATGTGTTTATATTCAGTACATGTACAGTTCAGACTGGTACTAGTTGCTACGTTTCCATCGCCCATTGTTTTGCATGGGTGCAGTGCGGCAGGAACCAGAGCAGCTTCGTTTAATGCATAGAGTTTCGGGCACGTGTTTTCACCACTCTGACAGTGCGAAGTATTATGGGGTGATTTCATGTCTGTGCAAGTAAAGTATACATACACGCGTGGCGCTAGGTGACACAGGCCGGTGATGAGTGATCAGCCCTGATGAATGCCTTGAGCATAATTAATGTAATTCTAACACAAAACTAATAATAAACAGGTGCCATAATCCCATATATTGTGTTGATATTTTAAGAGCTGTTATTGATATGTTGGTGAGACAATTGGTCCGAGCATCTTTTTGTTCAAACAATAAGTGCTCGGGAAATGTCCGATGTCCAACCGCAATTTCACACTCAAAGGCCTCTTCAATCTGATTCCATTTTCTGATTGACAAAATAATTTTTCAACTGGCAGATTGCTTGATTTAAGCATGGCTAAGGTTTTATGTAAGGGGATTATTATTGTTTCAGTACTTTGGCGTTAAAACTTTCGAGATGGTCCCTTTGCTGAGTCACAGGGCAATGGACCTTTTTCACTGACTAAATTGGTCATGGCAGCAAAAAGCATGAAGATGAATCTTAGAGAAAATAACCATGAGGTTTGGACCTGTGTATATTTTTAATTAAAAGGCCATGTAAGCTTTTAGCCACCTTTGTCATTAATGCACATGCTTTCATGTTCCGCCCAACAAGTCACTGGAACTGAGCCAAGGATTTGACTTACTTCCATCAAGTTAGCTGTGGATTTTTCCAATGCTGCAGTGATGACGCTGAAGTCTTCAGTCAGAGCCTTCAACCTGTTAAACTTGATCATGGTTTCCAGGGGGACCCCTGAGAGTCTGTGCTAAGGAAACTTCTGATGACGGACAGAGCACACTGCCAAAAACGTCAAGTAACCGGTTCCCTTCAGTACCAACACTCACTAAAAGGCATGGTGTAACCACAAACCTAACTTGGAAACTCTCTCATCAAAGACCTTATTTAAAAAAAAAACCTTATGGAAATCAAATGAAGTGGGTTTAATTTATTGTTTTAACCAGGTCGCAGTGCTGCATCTACTGCTGCCCAGGTTTGCAGCAGTCCTAATCTGGCTAGCACTGTCATTCTAGGTGTACACCATACAGCACATCTATAGGTGTTTATGTTTTGTAACCTGTACCTTCTCAATAAAGAAAGATGACTCCTAACAAATCTGATGACACATAAGTTGTTGGGTCACTGATGCCGTGTTCAAATTTATCTTCAGTCCACTGTGTTTGTTCAACCACAAACTAATCAAAATAGAAACCTACCCAGTCACTGGTTTTCCATCGTGAGTAAGCTGATTAAGTTTAATGGTAGACAATCGTGAACTAAACACCAGAAGGTTCTGTGTATGCAAATTCTTTTGTCTCTTGTTTATATTAGGATACATCCATCATCTTCTTTAATTTTCTCTTGGAGAAAGCGGTCCCGTTTTAGGTTGACATCTCCGAAGTAATACTGAAAGAAAACAAGACACCAAAGAAATTAATGGAAACAACAGAAAGAAGTTTCTGTTAAACGTTACAGTAAAATTACGGGAGATATTTCATATTCTTGTAAATTTTGATGTAATTTGTTTTTTTAGCTCTACTGTAACTACACAAGTTTACATCCCATTAAATTCTTAGTACAGTCATTCATAGGCCAGGTTTTTAGGTCAGTCACATGTACTTTCAATGTCATTAAATAAAAAAAAATAAAATTTAACACTGAGAGTCAAAAGGTACATTGTAAATATATTTTGCTATAACCCACACTGACTAAATGTGAGCCAAAAGTATACATTATTATGTACATATATGCAGTTTGATGACAATACCGCTCACACCCAGTCGTCCATTTTGAAGAAGCTATGTGCATACTTAAGTAGGTCCATGGATATTTTTTACGGGTCCAGAGGTACCAACCACTAAATGTGTAAATGAACGCTTGATAATAATAATCACCTCCAACATGTCCAACAATTTTCAAGTTCTTTCTTGAAATTTCGATAACATTTTTCCCCACACCCATAGGGTTGCGGTTATTAGAACATGGAAGGAGACTGAAACTGGCATCCACACCTCAATCTGTCTGATGATTTTCTTCTCAAGCTCCGAGGGCTCCTTCACACCGTTGTCTGACATGATTGTTCAAAGTCAGCAACGCTCCGTCGATACTCTGGGGAAACTACATACAACAGTCAAACAAATGAAACGTACAACTCAAGTTATAAAACTTCAACCAGATAATATCAAAGAAGATCTGCACACAGTACCTGCAAGTCTATAACAGTCAGCAGTCTCAACACACTGGCCAAAGCACCATTCAAGATTGGGCACACGTACGACGGCTGTTTAATGAATGGCACAACATCTGGTGTACGACCTGATCTGTCACGGCTACAGTACATTGTGCCATTTGGCAAACACTTATCAGCATATGCCTGCCCACACCCAAGTCTTCAATGTACATGTACATTGTAAATGTTGTGCTTACATGTTGGGATGCTGTCAATGCTATCCTTGAAAATTAACATACAGTTGAATCACAACAAAATTTTGAATCAACAGGATGAATTCCGACTTTTATGGGTAATTTCCCTTTTCTTCCCAAAGGTACATGTAGGTGAACCTAACCATTGCTAGAATCTTGGATCCACTCTAAACCCTACAGTGACTGCACTGGATAGACATGACAGATTCAGGCCTTTTTTTGGGGGGGGGGTGAAACTGAGGACTTTGATTATGTTAGGCATGTTAGAGGAATAAGTTATTTTGAGCAAAATTAATTAATGGTACCTACACAAGGCCAATGGAAGGTTCTGGGACTCTAGTCTATCTGATCGACTGTGTCATTGTCAAGCATGTCATAATGTCCAAAGGAGACAATTTGGGATGTTTCGATTGGTAGAAGGGATCTGTAGAGTCCTCGTTACTCGAACCAGGCCTACGTTAGAATTTACATCCAGGACCTAGGACTTTTAGGAGTCAATAATACATGAGACCTACATCATACATGTACAAGCTGAACTACTCCCAGAACTGTAGGGTCCGACGTCAGCCCTGCTCCTACAGTATGTGACGTTGAACCCCACAGTTCTGGGGGTACAACCTGACTACTACTGTACTAACTGGAATAACATCAATCCCATTTAAATCTCAGTTCTAGCCTGTTCATGTGTGCCCGTTGACGAGTGTTACAGTTTAACGTTACACTGGCAGTAGGCTAACAAGCTAGGCAGTGTGAAGGTATGTTGCAATAAATGGGATTCGCAGCCGCTACTTTCTCCCGTGCGCACTGCTGGCTGATTGTAGCTGTGTCGCAGATGCCCCTGCGCAAAATGGGCAATGTTCTGTTTCTGATTGGCTAAAATGCAGATGATGATGGATAACATAATGGGGATCCCTTCTACACCTCTTTTTGAATTTTTTAATTCCATCCTCAGGCTCGGGTGGTGGTGATGTTTAAAAATAGTCCTCATACCAAACACACTGCAAACTTAAGCAAGGATCCATATGTTTATTAGAGAATAAAGGCAAATGTATGTTTAAGCATGTTAAGTTTATATTGTTCTGACTACAAATTGGTGAAGTTTCATGATAATTGAATGAATCTGCATCTGAGGCATAGTTTTATAGCTCCGAAAATCAATATTTGATTTGCCATGCCCAAAGTAAATGACGGCTCATGTCATGCAAGTGCAGTGCTGCGCCATGTCTTCCTGTAGGCTGTACAATGTACAAGGAAGTGCCGTCTCTTTCTTTGCTTAACATGTCATACAAACACAGAAATCAAAGAGCCATTTTTTCGAGAACAAAAATTTCCACAGGCCTGACTTACATGTTACATTATAACCTAGTATGAAGCGATTTTTAGTATCAAATTAAATTATTCTGAATGCTCTAAGCCTACATGATTAAAATATTTTCAGGCCTTAATTACAAGATCTCAAAATTTTGTAATATAGGCCCGGGTACCTACAGTGTGTATGCAGCGGGGGACTCCAGCGAATTCAGGGAAGTTCAAGTTGCGATGTGCACACGCACCTCCACTGACGCTGACTGGCGGTTGATTTGGTTGGTTGACAATGCAATGGTTGAGGCCTCACCTTGACACTACCGTTGTTCATAAAGGACTTCTTTAAAAAGCACGACCTGGCTACTGCAATAAAATTTCGGAATTGCACTTGCAGGACACTCCTCTTATTCCTCCACTTTCGGGCCAGCCGCGATTTCAAGTCGTTTGATTTCAACCGCACGTGCACATTATTTCAGTGAAAACACGAGGCATATATGCATCACGACGTAGGAAAACACCACGCTTGCATCAGGCAGTTGTAAGGTTAAAGGTCATATCATGAGCTAAGAGGAGGTCAAGAACTCCAAACTAATGTAACGTCGGATGACAAAGCGTTCTGTCTGGGGTTTATCGCCTGGTATTCCATCCATTCTATTTTACGAATGTAAAACGTGCAATGTGTATTAGTAATATTGTGCAATAATATATTTTTATTTATATGACCTTCAGAGAGATTTTTCAAATAATAATTAAGTGGGGTTAATTTGTTTTTCATTCCCCAAAAGGGGAACTAAATTTGAAATTATTTGTAGAATATGATGCAATTTTGTAGTTGTTGCTGAAAGGTATGCGCTTGCGCAGTGATGTTTGTTCGCTCGTGCTAGCTCAAGCGTTGCATTTATGCTCATGCCGTAGCGATCTCGTTTGCGCTGTGAACGATAAAAATCCTGATTTTTGCATGTTTGAAAGCTTAGTCTGAAAGAATACAGCCATCAATAATATTTGTAAATGCATTCATAGTCAGTATCAATTACTGACCAAGAGAAAGTTTGTTTGTAAAATTTTCTCGAGTGTCTCTCCAGCACGTTACATCACGTTAGTCGGAACACGTTTCTTACTCGATCGAAGGGAAAGAAGGCGAGCCTAAATTAGCAGGTGAAAAGTCGTCTGACGATGGCACAAACGGGCTTAAACAAACTTTTTTCCCAGCTTGGCAAACTTGGCATTGGGCTTGCAGTGGTTGGTGGCGTTGTAAACACAGCTCTTTACAATGGTATGTACATTTCTGACTCCCCCCCCCCCTTATGTGGATGGTCAACATCAGTTGGCCTAGGCCCACTGGCATATTAGAATCACTGGCTACTCGGAGTGACTCCGGGAAGAAGGTGAAAAAAGTCTAAATCAAGTGTACGATGTTGAAAGAGACAAAGTAACACAAAATGAATGGAGATGGTAATAAAAAAAAATCAAAGTCCAAACCCAGTGGCCCTTCTGTAGGCCTAAGTGTAATTGTACTCTGCTGGGCCTGTGTTATACTGTTACATGTATGCAGGCCTTTGGCCTAAGCATATTCATGACTGACTCTTCATATTCTTATGCTGGTCATTTTTCACTTACAGTTGAGGCTGGTCACCGGGCAGTGATTTTTGACAGATTTTCTGGGGTCAAGGACTATGTGATGGGAGAAGGCACACACTTCCTAATCCCATGGGTTCAGAGACCCATCATTTATGACTGTCGATCACGTCCTCGCAATATTCCAACCATCACTGGAAGCAAAGGTAAATTTTGTACACTATTTTGATAACATTTATTGTGCATCATAAGTCTGAACTTTGCACCAAATTCGATATAATTATTGTGTTTTCCATGATGTTGTTCGACATTTGTTAACTTTAGGACACTCCTTCATTTTCTTTCACTCTTTTTTCTAAAAACTGCCAAAAATTTCCTGTCAACAATTCCATTTAGTTTTTCCAGTTGAAGACAAGTCACAGTTGCAAATTTTGCCCACCTCCACTTTCAACTTGCTTATCAACGCATGCAGAATTCTCAAGTTGGTTATTTATTTATCATCAGATCTTCAGAATGTGAACATCACCCTGCGTATCCTGTTCCGGCCAGAGGTATCCAATCTTCCCAAGATGTATGTCAACCTGGGTGAAGATTATGACGAGCGAGTGCTGCCTTCCATTACCAATGAAGTCCTAAAAGCTATTGTGGTAAGGGAGATGTTCACCCTCCGAAGAGTTCCATATACGGATGCCAGTAGTTGTTACCTACAGCGATTTATCAGCCATCAAAAAGCAAAAACAAGTCCAGAAAAGTTCAATTTAGGAGGGAAAATACCAAGTCTTGTACCTAGAAAACACTTCAAATTTTTCACACCTGTCTCATAGGGTTTGTGCACAGGCTGTCAAGCGGTGCCCATATAGGGAACTCTTTCCAATTGCAATTTAACCTATTTCCAGCAATTTCAAGGAGTTTGCTTCAGACTGGTGATTAAAAAACTATTCAGCTATGGGGCTGTGTTAATCTTACCAAAAAATGGTGACTATATTACATGTATTTACCGTGTTACTGCCTGCTTTACCAGTTCTTGTTGGTAGCCTGTGAGAAAGGTGACAAAAGTGAGAAAGGTACCCAGTGCCGTTTGGTGCATTTGATTTTCACCATTTGATCCACAGCTTTGCCTAGATGTCCATAGCTGATCTAGCCTTACCGGGCTCAGGGCAGACCAGGCGATTGATCACTTGGATTAAACCACCAAACACCTTGCTTCGTCATGGCTACTGTGGCTGCTGATCAGTTCAGAATACACTGAGATAACCTGGATTTCATGCAGGTCCAAATATCGTGATCATTTGGAATGGCTCTCCATCCATCAGTTTCACACTGCAGAATTGGTGCACAAAGACTTGACAAAGGTTCCTTATTGTAAATACATGTGAGGAATCTATTGGTGATCTTTTACAGGCCCAGTTTGACGCCAGTGAGTTGATCACACAGAGAGAGTTAGTGTCCCAGCGAGTGAATGCTGAGCTGACGGAGAGAGGTGCCCAATTCGGTCTCATCCTGGATGATATCTCTCTTGTAAGTTGGTGGGAACTGGTCATGTCTGCACACTCATTGTCACCGGCTCAAATTTTTAGTTTTTATGTTTTCTATTTAGTGGTAAAAAAAATAACTTGAAAAAAGTTTGCGGTACCCGCTGCTTCACCTGACTCGAACCCGCCAGCCGACCCTGGCAAGCTCAGGAGTCGAGTGGTTAAGACGTCTGCACTAGTAAGCAGGAGGTCATGGTTCGTGTCCCACCCGAGTCAGCTTGTGACTTTTTTCGCAAGCTCTCGGACAAGCACTGAGCATACAGTGTTTGTCAATAAATACATTGGGTAAGGGCAAAACCCGTTATATAAATTAACATCTCCCAACGCAAAAATACATCTTGAAAAAAAAAACCAGCTGACAAAATGAGGGATTGATATGTTTTAAACTTATTGTTTGGTCATCCTCTATAGAGTGTAACTTGAGCCAACATCAGGACTATCTTGTGTCTTCCGATTCTGCTAATCTTTATATATCACTTAAGTACTTCCATTGAGCCGTCTGTTTGACTTGCTATTTTGATACCTTTTAGACCCACCTGACATTTGGCCGGGAGTTTACGGAAGCTGTGGAGATGAAGCAAGTGGCACAACAAGATGCAGAGCGAGCCAGATTTTTAGTGGAGAAAGTAGGTTCTTACTCCGTCAGTTATCTTTTTGTCAATGATAAATCTGTTGGCTTTCCATTCAAATGTCTATTGCTCATTACTCTGTAATGTGGAACTGATCATAAGTTCACGCTTCATTCATGGGTACATTTTTTGTAAATCCCTGCAATATGTTTCTTTTTCTCTCTTCGTTTGATCTTCACCTCAAACAATCTTTCGCAGGCCTTTAATATGAACATGACAAGAAAAGACGATGTATTATTTCCTGTCCTTAGCTTGTCCACATTAATGGACTCATGAAGTTGACGCTTGGTGCTTGAATATTCCTCATGCCAGTTTTTTCTTTTCCTCTTGTGTCTTTTACAAGCAGCAGGGACATAGTGTTGTGGTGGTCAAAGGTTCCTTTTGTAAAGACAGAGTTTAATGACCACTGCAATAATCACTGTTTTCGTATTCATTTGCTACTCCCAGGCCGAGCAGCAGAAGCAGGCCGCTGTCATCACGGCGGAGGGGGATTCCCAGGCTGCTAGCCTGCTGGCGACAGCCTTCACCAAGGCCGGAGATGCCCTGATTGAGCTCCGCAAGCTGGAAGCCGCTGAAGATGTCGCCTACCAGATGTCACGGTCCAGGAACATCAACTACCTCCCTCCGGGACAACAGACTCTGCTAAGTCTTCCCACCATGTAGCATCCGCATTCCACATTTTCACTTGATAGTGTAGCATGCCGGAGTTAAGCCTTCTTTTGGAAAATGAATGCAACCAGATTTTTTCTGTCATTATTTTTGAGAGATTTAAGCGATTCGTTTGCATGTATTCCTGTTACATGGTTAAAAGAATCAACATATAAATGTCATAAGTTTAATTTACTACATTGTTGTGAAAGGCTGCCAAAAATAATCGAAATCAGTCTTTAAGAAGACACATTTTTTGCAGGTTGCATCTGATTTTAGAAAAGTGATAATATGGCATTCTTGCACACTCATCAGTAGTCAGTAGGTTCAGTAGTATTACATGCACATGTATTGAGATAAAACCGAAGTGTGATTTCCCCCTCAACTCCGTGAAGGCCTACCCCTAGTGCATCTGAGAAGGCCTAATTATTTAATGTACATTTGTATTAAACCGACACAACCAACCCGATAGAAGTTTGAAAAATGTGTTGGACAAGTTGCAGAGCATCAGTTGGTTGAAGCTTAAATGAAAGCAACAGAAAACTGCCCCTCCCCTCCCCATCTAAGTAAATTGGTCTCAATCATACGGCAGACAAACAGCTCAGATCTAGATTCGGAATCATCTTTGAAGGATTAATCATTAAACAGAACGGAAAGCCTTTGGGACGGCGGGGAAGACTCAAATTTGTGTACAGAACTAATTAAGTACATTGCGAGTGTTCACTGTCTGCCGCAGTTTTCGTTTGTCATATCTCAAGCGTGTCCGTGCATCGGTGTCCTTCCTGCAGTCAATCCTTTGTGGACCCTGCTGGAGTTACTAGGCAAGCATTGTAATGCTTGAAACTTCAAAAGATTAATAATACGTGCATTTCTCTCTCAAGAAACCTGACCACTGTTATTGGGGCAAAGGTCTTTCCCTTCTTGCATCCGTAAAATGGTAACGGTTATGGTAGTCATTACCATGACAGTGGCAGTCCTATTAAAACCACAAGTGTAAAAAGTAGTTTGAGGGGCCAGGAATGGGGGCCATGAAAGGGGGCCATGGGACTGTATCAATATTGTTGGGTTGCAAAATGGCTTACTTGGTAGCATTTAGCATACACGGGCAGAAGCTACATTTCGATATTAGTTTACTGAAGCAACGTACCTGCGTATATCATCCATTCTAGATCCTTTGCAAGGCTGCGTAATTTTTTACCCGGAGAGGTACTCATAAAAATACCTTTTTGCGTGCTCTGGTGATAGGGTTAAACAGATCTTTTGTCAGTAGACCCATAAAACCAATCCTTTGGGGGAAAACTGCATATGTATCTTCAGTGGCTGTGGATGCGTTCACTGTTTTTGTAGATGTCACTGATTTTGTGAATATTGAAACAGAATTTTTAGCGAATATCTATAGGTGTGCCGCTTACGGAAGGCTAATCAAAGGAAATCCAGATTTTTTTAACCTCAAAACACCGTTTGATCCCATGGTACATTCAAATGTAAAATTTTATCAAACAAATCACATGTTAAGTTGTGTTTGATAAATCTTTCATGTTACTTTAGCAGGTAGGCTTTCACACAAGGTTTGACAGCCCAGGATCAATAAAAACGTAATGACACTTGATTGAAACATTCAGATGCCTGTCTGTTGTTAATTTGCTGGGTTTGTAGGAATGGTAAATCAAATAGACCTTGTCTTCCTGAAGCACTGTAAAGTGCAACTGTTAATTGCTTGAATGAGAGATGAGCATGACCCTCAATTATTACATTGGGAAAGGTGTCGTTAAATTGCTCCCTGCAAAATTATGACAAAATCCAGGGAAACATGTTTTTTTGTCAGTTTGAACATTAACTTCTATCTCCATCTTCGTTATGGTTGAATCTCCTTTTTATCAAGGCCATGCAATTTTTTATTATCGTCAATCAATTAGGCTTTCAAGTCTCCAACAAAACGTCAGCGAGGCCCGCTTTTAAAACGAATTAAAATCGTGCAGTCATCAGGTGTGTCGCCAGCCTTTGGCTCAGAGTTCATTCCCTACAGTAATTCAGAATATGGACGAAGATGTAACGGGATCATCTAAATCAATTAAAAGGATGTGCTTAATTGAAATGAAAAATTTCAAGGAAAGGAAGTCGACAAGAAAACCCCCACCCATTTCCAAATGCCAGCCTTCTGTTTTGCAGGCTAAAATTATGGGGCAACGTACAATTTTCAACCCGGAAAAGGGCCTTTGCGCTGGGGAATTAATGGACGGAGCCGAAGGGTTCTTGAGCACTTTCTATAAATTGCGAAATATCTTACTTAATACAATAATTGCGCACATTAACTACATATCCATTAAAGTTGACATATTGTCTTCAGTCAGAGCGCAGACTACAGCCTTAAATTTATTTACATATACGAGATACATAAGTTCTTCTGAGCATACGATACACTGCAAAGATACTTGCTGCCTATACGTCCAAAGACTGAATGATCTCAAAAGTAAAGGTGTAAAAATTGGATATAGACTCATTGGCTGCATCGCAAATACCTTTATTACTTAATACAGTGAAAAAAATGAGCAAGCTGGTCTAGGGATAAAGTCCACACAAAGTTACAGCATAAGAGTACAATTAGATTAATACAATTAATAATCCTTTTTTATGACAGTGGTATACACGAGGTGTGATCGGCCGCGCAACCGTCGCAGGCCTTGCTCTATATCTATGGAGAGTGACGCCGAAACAGGCCTTTCAAAGTTTGTCTGAAAGAGGCCATCCTGATGGAATATATGACTACATTCCACCAGCTATTGGAAAGAGTAAATACCGATGCCAGACCACATATAGCCAGCGAGCATCCAATACCGACGACAAGGAAATGCACTGCGATGGCTATCATCGGGACGTAGGCCAGTCCGAAGGCTACGGCCACCATGGCGAAAGTAGCTGTTGCTTTGGAGCGAGGATGTCTAACTTGTCTGTCAGCAGGGTTGACGTTATCGCTTACACACTGGATGCGATTTGCATGATCTCGTGCTATCAGATACAGTCGAACATAGATCGCCAGACATGACAAATATGACACCAGGGTGACAACAATGAAGCTAGCCAGTGTATGTAAGTTTATGGCTCTCTCTTTTATAGGGATGCAGATGTTCAACATGGCGTCATAGCACACTTGCAAGCCACACTGGATTAAGATGATGAGGCTGATGATGAGGGTCGACAGCCACACGGCAACAACGAGAGTCGTGGCACGACAGGTGGTCACCCAAGTTGTGTAGCGAAGTGGCCTGGTGACGGCGATGTAACGATCCACGCTGACCATGAGGAGCGACAACACGGAAATGGTCACCAGGGAAAAGTTGAGGTGGGCAGTTATCAAACAGGTGGCGTGCCCCAGCAGCCATCTGGACGCAGCGGCCGAGATGGCCGATGGCGTGCAGATTACAACGCCCATTGACAGATCGGCCAATGTCAAGGAAGTCATGAAAACTTTGGTGGTGCCAGAAAATGCATCTGTTTTGCGCAGGCAAACAAGGCACAGCGAGTTCCCGCCAATGATTAGCAGTGCTACCAGTGCTGTGAGTACAGTCCGCGGTACAGTGAGTTCATCATGATGGTACGTCTTTTCACAGATAAACCCCAATGACACGTTACCATCCATTTTTGGACTCATCAATTTCTAAAGATCTTTCAGTTTTCTTTTTCAAGCACGGTAAGTTGCCACACATTAATGCGGCCTTTCAAATCTTTGGCAAGACGTTTCTCCCCAGTTTAAATACAACAGATTCAGACACGATATTACTCGACGTCCCACGATATTGAAGTGTAGTTGATCTTCTCTGTGCCGCGCCCGCGAGTATTGCATGAAGAATCAACTTTAGATGGATGACAGCAACATTGATATGGCAGTTCCACGAAATTCTGAATTGTTTTTAATTGAAAACACTTTCAGGTTCATCTCCGGCGAACTGAACCTGATTTACTGTGGCAAGTGGCCGCCCAGCGCAACTCATTTAGAGACAGTCGTCTCTCCACAACAAGGGCAAATCTCTTATCTGGGCAAAACAGCCAATTGAAATGCTCGGATGGACTCCTTCTGAAGCCTCGTCGCAGGAAGACGCCGTGAAATGCTTTGCACAGTCCCGGGTATGTTCAGCCGTTGCAGTATCACAAGAAGCGCGTCTAATAATCGCTGCGCTGTATAAAAAGGCAACACAGCCCACTTGCATGCATGCCATGTTGTTGACACACCTTGAAACAAGTCTCTCTGGTAGGCCTACTCAGGTTTCCTTACAAATTACACATAATTTATGTACACTTATATGAATATTCAACACAACATCTAATATCCTCTTGTTTAATCGATTAAACGTTCCATAGCACCGCGTCAGGTTTGAGTGGAAATTTAGTAACTAATAACAATACAGAGTTCAGAGCACTCTCGGAAATTCAGTCTGGGCGCATACATTATTCGTGATTATCCTTGATCACCGGCTTCATTGACATTATGATTCCCCAAATATCTCATCTTCCAGGGGATCACAACAAATTCCAACCGATAAAGCTTGTTTTTTAACGAAAAATGCACCAGCGCAATCTGGCCAGTGATTTACCATGAACATTAATCGCGAAAACCCACGGTAGCGCGCCAGCGTATGAAGTTCCAGCGCTAATGCCAACTTAAGACTACGGAACCAAAGTGGTTTTATTATGTGTGCACTGCAGTACAGCATGCAGCTATTGTGTGACAATTGTCCGTGTGCATTGGCGCATAATCAGCCATTTTGGTTCCAACGATGGAGACACTCATGTCACAATCCTCTTCATGCACAGCTCTGCATCGTCGTTCAATCATCTTGCTCTATGGTTCAAAAGCTCTGCCGCCTCCTCTCATTTTGTGCCTGGTGACGGGGGCGTTTTCTGCACATTAATGAAATGGAGATTGATGGTACATGACAATACCACGTATGATAACTACAAAAGTGGCTACTAGGCCTAATGGGAAAGAGGGTTAATAGTGTAGTTGAGTACAAACTCGGAATTTTAAAGACTATATTGTAAGGAAATTCATGTATAGTCACTATGATGTTCATATTTTTTGAGGTGAGAAATGGATTTTGAAACACAGTGGTACTGGTTTTCCCGGACAATTTCTGCAAACGGCGTTAAATTTCACAGATAAAAAGCAGCCGACAAACGGGCTGAGGTTCAGTTTATACTCCAAACGAATACGGGAGCAAAGCGAGTGTGAAATGTTTTTAACTTTGAACATTTAACTTTTTGCGACTGCACATGTCGTCAAACGTTGAAACCCAAACATGTCATACGTTATGCATAGCGCTGTTGTGGCAAATTTCGGCCAAACCGACGGACAGAAGAGAAATATCTTTCGATTAGTCCTCAAGTTTACTTGTCACACAGACCACATGGCAACGCAAAACTCCGTCAGGCTGTAGGCCTATAAGATTACCAAAATAGATATTACATGGAGGACTAAAAACTGCCACAGTCGGCAAGGATACAATTTAAAATTGGGACGGCGACCAAAAGGAAGCACACCGCAAGTTGTGGGTTTTATCAGCAATAATTTGGTAACGGCCAACACAATGAAATGGGGAGAATTTACATGCAGTATCAACGACCCCCCATACCTCAAATTTAATAACAGCTTTTTTGCTTCATAAAAAAATAACTAGAGCAGAACATGCCCAATATAATCTACAACTAGGAGAAACCGTACTTACGATGAACATACGCTACGTAATTGAGCGCAAGATTCTTCAACAGTACTGTAAGGATAGGCCTAAGTATGATTGTAATAAAAGAGAATACTGAAGTTATGATTTTTTGGAACGTTGGATATTTAGTGTTGGATTTTAGACCAACACGGCAGCTACGGAGCTCTAGAAGAGAATTTACTTTATAAGTTGTCGTAAAAAGCCAAGATATGACGTATGTATCATACCGATTTTCAAATATTAGGCCTAAATTTCAATATTAAAGTTTAATTGCTTGTAATTTGAAACCTGATGACGTCATTATAACGTCGACTCAGTAGGCACACTAAGGTTTTATTTAAGATATTGCCTTTTATCATGTAAAACAAAAACAAAAACAAAAAAAAGCAACCGGGAGTGATTGTCTGTAAAAGCATCGAGGAGAAAGATGGCACGTACGATTTCAACGTATGATAAAATGCCTTAAGTTGATATCGGTGGCGTAACCAGGTCGGAGGGGGGGTTCAATTAAGATTTTTTTCTGAAAACGACTACCTGACTTTTTCAACCATACAAAACTCTCCTCAGAAAGGTGGTAGTACCGTTTCTAAAATGCTGATGCTTCATAAATTCCTACAAAAACAAAAAATCAAATCAAGGGCAACATGTCTCCCGAGGAAACTTGCCCGCCTCCATCCCAATTGGGTACCAATTGGGATAGGCATGGGAAAGGAGAAATATAATATGGTACTTACAAGACTTAGATCAGCGAAAAACTTGCAAAGTAATGGTACAATGGTACACAGTGTATAGTGATAAAACCTTTTTTTCGCACACATGTAACAGATAGAACTTGTACACACCAAGACTTCATCCTCAAGACACAACGCACACCATCCTCCTCCGCCATGGCCCAGCAGCGCGTCCAAATCCCGTGGGCCTTCGAGGAGTTTTTAACCGGTGGCTCAAGAAACATGTAAGGCGAATATACAATTATCAAGAAATGCAGTGTTAAGTAATCAAAGGTACCAGAAGAAGGGGCCGGGTGTTATCACTCCATCATTTTCTTATAAGTTACAGCGGACTACATATGTACCTGGAATGGCAACCCCAGATCCCAGTGACAAGACTATAAATCAAACTCCATAAACAAAATGAGTCCCACACTTGTGAGTTTCTTTCTTGACTCTTAATTTCAATTCGATATTTACAAGTACAGAGAATGTCTAACCCACAATATTTTATATTATTCTTATCTGCACAATTCAATTCTTCACTCTCGTTACTCCTTAACTTGAATTTAGTAATCCATTCACATCGTATCCAATTCACATTACTCTTGTGGGGATATTTTGGAAATGACAACTACAAAGTTATCAGAAACAAATTGTCATGAAACAATACAGAGTCATAAAATAAATTAAGTTATAAAAATAACACCCAATTAAGCTACATAAGTGTTTGTGGCTCTGAAAAGGCTCCGGTTACACGAAGGAGGTGAGTCGACGTTCCAGGTAAGGTAGCTGTGATTTCCTACGTAACCTTCGATTCTTGTCTGCCCAGTATAGACGCACGGCTTCAAGTTGACATGATTAGAGCCCAATGACTATAGGCAAGGGTCTCGGCGTTTCTTGCACCAAACAGCCATCTATATACATAAGAAACAATTCATGCACAACCCATTGAGTCTTCTCAAAATTATGTTCAGGATTCTGCGTCTCAGACAATTTGCTAGATATCTTGCCACATATCTTTGGGCTCATCTTAATCAGACCATTCACTCTAAAATAATTATAATTATCTTCAGGAGTGTGCTCGTCTTGATTTCTCGGATTGAAACCAACAAATCAATATTGAGTCTTCTCAGTTTACTCAAAATTACATTGATCTGACTTCGTACTTTCAATCAGTCCTTAAAATCAGCTTTACGCAGGATCAGTCTCAATCAGCTCTCAATCTTTAAGCAAAATCATCTATAAATAAACCTTAGATTTGAATACTTCCGGTTATTTCTCAAGATCTGTGCTCGGGAGCTGCAGGCTGATTGTTGCTGGCCAAGACGATCCGGATAACGGTAGAAGAGTTTGGCCTGTATTTGCCGAAACTCCCTTGTCGATCGGGACTGATTTCCCGTCAGAAGGACTGGGGCTGAATCTCTCGCGTTCTCAGTTGATCACACACGACCAAGGTAACGCTGCTTGATTCAGGTTCAGTGCTTGATCTCTGCTGCCGCAATATCTCAGACCTCCCACTTCAACTTCTTCAAGCAATCTAAAATAGCAACTGTCTCTTACTCTCTCGAATCTCTCACATAGCCATAAACAACACAATGGGTCTGCAACAAGGCATGTTTTCTTATGGAAATACGGCAGTGCACTAGACAATAAAATTATATCTGGGTGTTTTCCGAAGTACAACCATATCTGAGGACAAAACAACTTACGTAAGACCGGTGGGGTTTCTGGTGAACACACAGGAAGTGTACGCGGGAAAAGATAACCGTTGATTGGACAAAAACTTTTGGAAGATTCAATGTGCAAAGGGGTGTGCGCACGCGGATTTATTTTATAAAAAGACACACAGGTACACAATTTTGATGTAGGCCTAACACCGTGATCCTTCTATAAGTTGCACATTAAACAAACGCTGCAAGTATAATGGAACTTTGAACAACATCCATAGCACTGCTCCAATTTAAAGGAGCAACTATGAAAGTAATTAAATCGAACAATGTTCCAGTAAAGAAGTTGCATTGGGGAAAAATGTTACGATACCCTCTATTTCAAAAATAAGAAAAATGCAAGAATCCAAGGTTTTCGACACAATAATTATCAAATTTCAGTGAGCTTATTTCACCGTCTCCAAGGGCGAACCCAGATCCAAATGTTCGGCTGGCCAAATTTTGGGGGTTATTTCGGTGTGGGGGACAATTTAAAATTTTTCATATAACCTTTTTTGACCTTTCTTAGAGGTGAGGAAGGAACAAGAAATAGAAAGAAAAAAATGCACGTTATTATTCTTCCCCCCAAACAAAGGGTGTTTGGGGGCAGCATGGCCCCACTACCCCCCCCATCCGCCCTTGCCATGGTCCAGTTTCTGTTCAATTTGTAGCGGACAACCTGATGCCTTCTTTAAATTTTTGTCATAACATGATCATTCCTTAGAGTTATCTTAAAGTCCCTTGCCATCCAAATATCACGGAAATATGTGCTGGTAGTTATGTCAACACTTTCCAGGTCTTTTTCACAAAACATCAAGACCAGGCACCATAAAAATTTCCTACTCGCCAAACCAAATGTAAGGAAGAGGAGAGAAACCACGACGAGGCAGAGAAGCAAGTATGTGAAACTTTGTGATATTCTGTCAAACCAATCATCCATATTGGGAAATCAAGACAAATTTTATTTCGATGACGAAAAACTCGCAGTTGCAACCTCAATCCGGTCAACTCTCAACCCCACAAGGACCAATAATGCAGTTACATAG